GGGGGTGGGGCAGGGACCTTTCCAGAGGATCACTGCAGACACACACACCGTGTGACCCCACAGACCCCAACGAGCTGGCCAGAGACAATACATCTGGCAACCTAAATACTGCAGAGATCCTGAGGACATCAAAGGAACTGATCCTGAAGCCTCACCAGCAGTTTAAACAAGCCATCATAAAGGAATTCTCAGACCCAGAGTCTGAACACGGACTGATCGCTGCCCTAGACACCAAACAGGGCCGGCATGAAACTCCCCATGCTTACTACCACAGACTTTGACGAGCTTACTTCAGAGCTCGCAATTACCCTGGGATGGAGGAGGACACCAGCTTCAAGGGCTTTTTCCTCCGAAACCTCCATCCTATTGCAAGTCACCATTTAGGCATTATGGCCTACTGCACAATGCCTATTCAACAACTGCATGACCTGACACAGAAGGCCTTTAACAAGCACAAGGCCTCCACCAAAAGTGTTTGCAAGACCCCACAGATTCTGAACTTCACACGGATGCTGCACACGGACAGCTGGACACGCCTACTTCTGAATTACAGGAGCTGCTGACACTAGCAAAAGAGCTCCTGGAACAAAACTCAACTGAGGAGTACTGGGAAGGACAAACTTCTGACTCCTTGCCTGACGCAACACAGCATCAGACCCCTCCAAAGGAGGAGCATCCCTTAAAACCAGTCGACACCCCAGAAGCAGCCAGACAACGTTGGATAGAGCAACGGGCCCAAATGCTCAACAGCGAAACCTCTACCAACACAACCACACTAGTCGGTGCCGCTACAAGAGCAAAGCGACACTGCAAACATCAGATTTCTAGTGACGTGCGAGCTACACAGAGGGCTAACAACCACCTGCTGCCCTCCTGCCACTATCACTAGGTCAGTCTGAAACTCTCTGCACACTACAAAATCTACATAACAATTCCCTGCGACCCCAGGAACCAACTGCACTTTCACCAGTGAGAGTCTAACCTGGCTGTTCCACACCGCGGGTACCACAGATAGCCTACTGGCTAACAACATCGACAAACAACCATCTTACCCAGACTAACTCACTTCAGGATGACAGGTGACACAGCCTCGACACCTGCTGCATAAGCTCGAGGACCCGCACCTTGCTACAGCCTACATCACCACAGCACACCTGGGCCATTAGGGGAGGGCCCTTTGTCTCTCAGGTGTGAATCACTAATATTCATGGCCATTGTCACTCCCTCTCATACGCCTTTCTAACACAAAAATGTCTTACAAAAGTTAATCAATATATAGTTTTTTTGTGAATGATTGAGCAGGATGATTTTCACATCATTTTATAGTAAAAACTCTAGTCTATCACATCCAGTTCTCAAAAGTCTTGTGAACAAATGTTATGTATGAGTTTTATGGCCTTATTTTAATGACTTAAAAATTTTCATTTTTTACTAACCATGCATAAATGTTTTCTCAAAAACACAAACATGTAGGCTATATTCATGCTGCTCGTGTATTATTGTAGCACAGTTTGTGCTGATTACAGTGTAATCAGACTTTAGTCATTAATGTGTATTTAAGATACTGAAAAAAGCACAAATGTCAGGGCATGTCAAAACTTTTCCAGGCCCCAAAACACCCTCGGACCCCAGAGGGTTAAGCTCATTCTTTCCTTACTTTCTATCTTCCTGCAAATTGTGTGAAAGTGTGAGTGTGTGTGTTTATGTGTTAGACTAGTTTATATGTCTTAGATGTATCTCACTTTATCTGCATTTTACTACAAAGGGAAATGCTGACTCACAATTATTAATTGTGGCAAATTCAAATTTAATTAAAACATTACATTTATTTGCAATCATTCAAATTTCCCCCTCGGATCAATTCATATGATCATCATTTCTAGTATTCCCTTTTGGGCCTAATCATTTTAGGTACAAATAAGCCTTGAACTTTGAAAGTTTAAGTTAACTTATTCTACCTAATTGATGTATTACCCATATTAATAGATTCTATACAGACTCACACTTACTCATCCTTTTATTGCGTTTTACCACTCTTTCTTCCTGTTTTGGTTATACACTTAGCCAGTATTGTTTAACTTATTGATTTCCTTCTTTATTTAATTTAATTTTTGCTTGTTTTGCCCATTTATTACCTTTTAATTTTACTTTGTCTTACCATTTTCTTTCCTCTGTGTATCCTAGCTTG